CCAGCATACTGCTACTGCTTGGGCGTCCCGTGACACCCACAAAGAAGCCGTAGTCCCAGGAGGCGTTTGGGCGGAATTGGCGCAACCACGTGGAGCGCAAGGAATCACGCTGGGCGCTGTGGTCGACCGCACTGGCGATGAGCAGAAAGCAGTAGACCTTGCGGGGCGTGTAAGCTACTGTCGAGTAATCGGCGTGTCTGCGCTGCTCGAGTGGCGCTGAGACACCATTCTGCGTGTAGGTACGCGCAACACAGTCCACCTCAAAGAAGGGAAGGCGCCAGCCGTGAACGCGTGGAAAGTTGCGGCACAGATACAGCAGTGCCGCTCCCTCTGTGTACCGCAAGCTGCGCTCAACATAGTATGCTGAGCGGTTAGCCCTCTGGTGGAGCAAGGTGGCGCTGGGATCAAAGCCAACAGCGTGCCCTGCGGCTGCGAGTGCTGCAAAGAAGGTCTCATGCTCCATCTGTCTCTGTCGCTCGTCCCAGGGATGGGCGCGCAAGACTGCCGCGCGAGCAACAAAGGCGTTCTGTACCACGTGTGCGCCGTGCAGGCCAGAGCTGCCAGTGTCGTACATCACAGGGGTACTCTCCACCCAGCCGTCCTTCTGTGAAGTAAGCAAATGCGCATAGCAAATGCTCGGAGCGTAGCAGGCAGCCGCCAAGGCCAGGCGTGGGTCGCGCCAAAGGTGCGCCAGCAGTGCATCTACCCGCGTGCCCGAGTGGAAGAGCACGTCGTCGTCCATGATCATCACAAACTCTGTGGTCGCACTCCTCGCAATGGCATTCCTTCCTGCACTCAGCCCTGTGGTGCCATGCAGCTGCACATAGACTTCGCCATAACTGCCCACCTGCGGCTCATACACGTGTTCTCCATCGTAAGCGACGAGGACGGGAAGCATTGCGTGGCTCGCGCGGATGCTGCTGAGCAGCTCTGCAAGAAGCCGCCGCCTCTCCACAAAGTCGGAGGTGTGCTTGATGCCAAACGTCAGGGCCCACGGTGGCGTTTCTTTGGGCAGAAGATCATGCTGGCTACAATTGATGCGAACGCTTTCGTAATCGGACCCGTAGCGGGAGTCTGCATTGGCATGTGGGATCTGCAGAAAGGTGCAGTCTACTCCGAGCCAGTGCGCGATCTGCGTGAACGTCGCTTCTGAGAAGTCCTCGCGCTCAACATGAAACGAGAGGCTGTCTCCTCGCTTGGCGTGGAGACGATGGATTATGCTGTTGAGCGATGAGAGCTGCTGTGACGTGCTCTGCTGCTCGCGATGGAATGCAGAGAGTGCCTGATCCGTCGTGTTTCGGCGGGTGTTGAAGATGATGCGAGCACACGGGAAGATGCGATCCAGGAGGCGCAACCAGCGCGGCTCATTGCCATCAAGTTGGACAGACAGGTGGCGTGCTGGTGGGAGGCCAGTTGCCAAGTCGTGCATGACACCCTTCAACGGCAGCGTGACGAGCTCTTTGAAGCCGAGCACCCGAGTATTGCGAGCAGGCAACGGGGTGCGTGGAGCACCAATCAAGCCTTGAAAATATTGCTGGGCAGCACAGAGGAGCACATGCTCATCCACCTGCCCATGCTCTGTCGCAGCTGTGGACTCCACTGCCGCCTCCCTTGCATGACTCTCGGCCCAGCGTTCAAATACGTCGACAAACGCCTCCAACGAGGCCTGGTTCTCGCCGCTCACGTGGACGCCAGGCAGCGAGTTGAGCGCCTCCAGAATGGAGGTGGAGCCCGCGCGACCTGTGGAGAGGATGAAGACCCACCGAATCTCGCAGAGGTCACACGACGGTGCGTGTTGCGGCACTGCTTCAGTGGCTGCACGATCGATTGCTGGCTGGGCAGCATTGTAAACATGCGCAGACACTACATTGTCGGATGCTGAGATGGCAGAGCGGAGCAGCGGCCGCCACTCTGACTTGTTCAGGGCGAGGAGCTCCTCTGTGAAGATCTCGAGGGATGGCACTGTGCTGTGCGTAGAACGCTGCTCCCGCACCCGTGCATACCACGATCGGGCCTTTGTCGCGTGGATCCTGACATCATCCTCGCTCAGATTGACCGCGGGCCGCGGACACGCCGTCGCGTCCCAGCAGCCGGAGTTGCGTGCGCGTGTAAGCGAGGCAAGCTGCGCGCTCACGTCGAGCCGCTCCAGCACGATCGCAGCGTTAACGTAGCCCCACAGCTCTCCGAGGAAGCCAGCTTTCAGCACATGGTTGGGGAAGAGCTTGATGCCCCAGGCGCACGGTGCCCTGAGGGAGTCTCCTTGCACAGCGAGAGCCTCGAAGCTGGCCTTCAGCAGACCAAGAGGATCCGTTTGCACCGCCCGCGGCGAGGCAAGGCCCGGGTTCAGAACTTCGTGGGCACAGTGTGTGTCAGAGAGCGTGTTGAGTACGTTACAGACTGTCGTGCTGGCGGACCGCTGCATGGCAAAGATGACAAAGAAGGTGCGCGGCGGCCACGCTGCCTTGCACGTCCATGTGTCTTGCAATGCATCGTTTGGCCATGGCACGTCAACTGCATTGCGATCAAGCTTGGCGGCCAAGCACGTTGAACGGCACGGGGCACACTCGCTCGTCTCACAGCTCCAGCTGCGCATCATTCGCGAGAAGCACCAGCCCGGGCAGCTCAACTGCTCGAGCTGCATGTCGGGTAAAGGCGGCGACGGCGGCGACGGCGGCGACGGCGGCGACGGCGGCGACGGCGGCGACGGCGGCGACTGCGGTGGTGACGGCGGCGACGGCGGCGACGGCGGTGGTGACGGCGGTGGTGACGGCGGCTCCGACGGAGGAGAGATTGGTGGCGCGGCCGGTGGCGCCGCTGGTGTGCCGCATACGCCCTGCAGGAAGAAGAGGATCACAATGCCAACTCGGAGAGCACGCGTGCTGGAAAGCAAGGGTACGGAGATCTCTGCGTGGCTGCTGCGCTCCACCTTCTTCTTCTTGACCTGCCCACGCAACGGCGGCTCAAGGAACGCCGCGAGGAGCAGCGCCAGCACGGCTGCACAAGAGTGGAGAAAGAGCAGCGAGGCCACATCGATCTCTGAGAGGGGCGTGGCGGTCGTGAAGCTCTCCTCGAGTGAGGGGTCGCCGATCTTCGTCGCGCCGGAAGTCTCGTCAAATGGGGCGAGCTCGGCGTAGGCGCCGATGTTGAGCTTCATGGAGGTAGTCGGGTAGGTCTTACCGATCCCGATCTCGACGTTGGAGTGGGCCGTGGCGGTCGTGCAGTCCGTCTCGTCCGTCGCGCTGCCTGACCAGCATTGCTGCCGGATCATCACCACGCTAAGCAGCGGCTCCGCACCCCCTCTTTCTTTTTTTTGTTTTT